CACCACCACCACCACCACCACCACCACCACCACCACCACCACCACCACCACCACCACCACCACCACCAAAATAATCGCGTGGTCAATGTGGTCAATTTAAAGAGCAAATTCGAAGCTACTTTATGGGTAAACGTGTAGTTCGGTAGTTGTTTGTCATGAATTGATGTGCAAGTTTTCGATCTTAGGGAGCTTATACTAACAGTAAATGACAAAGCTACCAGTTTTACTATGTAATTAGTGTTGGCGTCGAGTTCCGTGTATGTTTCGGCCTAAGCCCCGTCGAACTTGGCCAAGATAATTTCACCAAATTAATTGATATCTTTTACCTCGTCTCACTATCACCTTTTAATTTGTGTTCTTCTAATGAAGTGCATTTTCCTTGTTTTAGATGAACTGCACTGTTATGCGTATGTTCTCTTACTCTCTGGGACAATGGGCTGAAATCAGCTGTGCTTCCAAGGCTCATTTTGTTTGCAATGCTAAACCCGGTATGACTTTGCTCGTATTCCTCTGAGTTCTGTTTGCATTGTCAACATCGAGCACCTCACTCCCTTTCTTGTACATTCCAGTAATCGTTCCTGCTCACGCAGACAGTCATCTACATGGGGACCTCTTTGTTCAAGGTCGCTGTGTCAGTGGGTACTACGAGTACCGCAGCGCCTGCTACTCCCTGGTTAACCCGCCAGAGGGAGTTGTAAGATCAAGTGAGCTGGGTCGTGACGGAATTACGGCGGCGTGCGAAGCCACAGCAGAGGTGAAGAACTGCACCGGAAACCACGTGGGAGGTCCATTCTGTCCCACGGTGATGTCACCTCACGATCTGGCCGATGCGGCTTTTCAGCGATCGCTAATCAGCAAATTCGGCTATCCTTCGACTGCTGCTTGGGTTGGGTTGAAAACCGATTATTTCCATGTCTACGTAATTTCCCACAACTTGCTTCTGTATTTATTTTCTTCCAAGTACTAAGTATATTGAAATATTTTAGCTGGACGCTCCAAATTTCATGGAATCCACATCGCTCCTCGACTATTCTCTCAGCCAGGATCCAACAAACAATATCACTTGTGTCGTTTTGGACATGGACAAAAATCTTCTCTCAAGCCAACCTTGCAACTCACCACTGCCTGCTCTCTGTGGTTATTTCTTAGGTAATTTTTTTATTTTTTGGTGTTATTGTTGAATGTTTTCACTTAACAACTCCATTTATGTATAGATGAACACTTTCTTGCCAACAACGAAGTTCATGACGCTTCCGCACTTTGCCCTTCCGGATGGAAACAGTTTGATTCCAACTGCTATCGTCTTGACGCCGTCGATGGGGGTTTGAGTTGGAGTCAGTCAGAGCAAGCCTGCGTAGCAGAGGGAGGCCACCTTGCCTCTATTCACTCCGATGCCGAAGACGAATTTATAAGGTCATTGTTGCCCAATGACAAACCTGTGAACCCCTGGATCGGCCTGAGGGTATTTAGTAAGTCTCAATGTTATCGGTACGAATCGGTACTTGTGCAGTGTTCTTGCAGCACATAAGAACCAAGGGTAGAGTCAAAGCTGCATGTAGCATTACTTGATTAATTTCTTGTCATGTGTTTCAGTAGCAAAAGCTCTGTTTATGCGCAATTTTTAATGCTCGTTAGACATTAAGTTTGTATATTGTTACGCGGTTGGCGTTAGTATCCCTTAGGTCTACAGAGTGTTATTTGAAACACTTCTTATAAAATCAATGCAGGACATCAGACTTTTGTAACTAAGACAAAAAAATTAAATTCGTTTTAATGCCTAACGAAAGTGCTTTCCCAAATTACATCTACTATTAATGTCCCATAATGTGTGTATTGGATTGAAACATAAACTACTGAGCTAAACGCTAAGCGAAATCCTAGAAAATCAATTTCCGATTTGGATAAAAGTTATAAGTGGAACATCAGTGGAAGTGTGTTTTTAGTAGGTGCTAAATGCCGATATTAAACAAGAAAATCCAGTTTTTTTTTTCTGGTGGGCCTTTTTGCATCAGCTACAATGTAACTAATGCTATAACTTTGCCGCTAAACTGATTTAAAGGAAATAAAAATTTTACGCACCTTTTAGTAACTTGTTCGGAATTGAATTCCTAATGTTTTCCGACAGCTTTTGCTTCAAGTAACTCCCTTCTGTGAGTGGCTGCCCTCGTGAAGTGTGCTATTACTACCCTCAATAAGTGACACTTTGTTACCCTGCCTAAATCGTGACTTCATAAGCCCGAAAACATCCGTACGTGGCTCTCCTAATTTTTGCACTCGATATGTAGAAACGCGGTTCCTGGTTCACGCGATCCTAAGGTCTCTAAAACAACGCCTCGTTGTTTATGTATTTTATTTTGCCAACAGGGGTGATTTTACTGGCCTTAGGATGGCCGTTTCGGTCGTTTGCTTAGTGGAGAACTTTGCTTACTTGCCATATATGCAGCATTGTTAAAGTACCTGCGACAGAACCCGCAGCTTCAGTTGGGAGTTCTGCTGTGCTGCTTCGCTGCATTTTACTAATAGACTTGTCAGTGCCGATGAAATGAAATTAGCAGTACTTTATTAAAATGTACCATCGTTGATTCACTACAGCGTCAACGTCAAAATTACTCTATCTTTCAATAAACAACTTGACGTGTCGCTTAAAACTCTCTGGTAATAGCGATAAACGTTAGGTAGCTAGTGATTATTCTGTCACAGATTCGGGTGGCTCGTAAGGCCTAATTGCTATTAGTACGTTTTCTATCCAAATATAAGGAAACATTTTGCTACGGTTTGTTCCTACTCATCAGGGCATAATTTGGCATCTAAGATGCTCTGGTCAGGCCTAAAATGGAGTTAATTCGAATAATTCCGCTTTATCTTCGTGAATAAGGCCGTGGGTCGATGCGCAGGCCACCTTTACAGTCACCATTCTCTGTTGACACCCACAGAACCCGACCGCAAGCGTTCCAGTGACAAGATGACGCAGCCAGTTGACCACAGCCGTTTATTCGTTCGCTAGCCATGACGTGTCATTGTGGCGTGTGAGTGAGCGTGTTTACATGACACGCATGAACCGTGAGGATTAGCTGTGTTTGTTTAATGTGGTGCTAGGTGCGGCGGTGACAATGACACCAACTATTTTTAGGTAAACCTTTTAGCTGGCGAAGCCCCATTCCCCATGTATATTTAAGTGATTTTAAACCCATACGCACCAAATTTTTTTGTCATGTTCGTTGATGGGTAGGCGTAATTACGGGCTAGTTTGCTAGCCGAATGTGGAACTGAAACAACAAACTGTTGCGGTCACGTTTGTATGTGATTAGAAATTCGTTAGTTAAACAAACGCACTCGTTAGATCCTACCGGTTGTAGAATCTGAAATTGTCGTTTTCCGTTCACTACAGCATCTCGTCCAAGTCTTTTTCATTGTTGAAATCCGTCTGGCTAGATGTTCTGCAATCACAACCTTAGTAGTAGATCGTGGCTGTCGTTCTGTTTTTTTTTTACTCTGGTAACCAAAGTGGGTAAAGGGAGGCCTGTTCTATGGAAATAGAATTCAAAATACATCCTGTGAATTTCTACTGTTTGCAAATCCACAGAACTAAATTTGTAAGTGTATTAAGCAGGAACTTTGCCCTCTTTTATTAACTGCCTTGACCTGTCTAAACCAATCAAGATCATTCGGCCGTCCACGGTAAGTTTATCGGATCAGAAGGAGCATGTTTTTGCTTTTGGTGCAAGTGTATCAAAGCTGTTCGTCTGTTTCATTCTGTTGCACCTGTGCGCTACCCTCATTCTGTGTCCTGACTTTGCATGGTGGCTTTGTCTTCATTGCACCGTGTGTGTGTGTGTGTCTGTTCAGATCCCAGCTTTAGGGTGAGCACACACCGATCAGGTCCCACCGATTGTACTTTGTGGCATTCAAAGATATGACCCTTGTTGTTGGTTGATAAATTTGTGGCTTGAGTTCCCCAAAGCTGGATTTTTTTTTCATTTTGGGAGTTGGCTTATTTTGCTTGCGAAGTCGTGCTTTGTGCTGTGCACAATCTACAAAATGCGCACACAATGTTTACCACAAACGTGAGTGCTGGTACAGGCGACGATTTACTTCCTCACCATGTCTTCACGTTACTCGACCTTTGCTACGTTATGCATTTGTTGTTGCGAGTTTCCGTGCACACTGATAGACGTGCTCGGTTCGTTTGGCTTCCTCAAAAACCCCACGGCTATTGTGGCCTTGTGCTTGTGCTTCTCTAAGCTTCTCCTGGTGACCGTTTGTCTTTTTTTCACTTAACGCAACATTTCTGTGATTAAGCATTTCGTGGTTCTCATTTTCTAAATGTACAGACCCTTACCACACCCCGGCTTGCACCGCACTGCAAGTGTGTGACTAAGCTTCAGGATGTAATCAGCACCTTAAGCTGACTGATTTTGAGCGTTTTAATTTTGTAGATGATGTGGATGGAGTTGGAGGCACAACGATGCATTGGTCTGACGGAAGTTTAGTGGTTTACGCACAGGTGTTTGTTACCAGTCAATCTATTATGGAAATTGACTGCTTTCAGCTCGGTAGCGTTCTTGGACACCCCAAGTGGACTCGTGCAGGGGGCTGCTCCGTGAAAGCTCCCCTTATTTGCAAGGCTCCGGTAGACGTTCTGGTTGCCGAGAAGGACAATCCAAGAAAAGGTGGGTATTGTGTGTTCACCCATGCATTCTTACGGGTTTCTCTACATAATGTATTAATAAAATAGTGTGGGGAATGGAAGCACGCCAGTGCATCTTGCGTCCACGTGCCTTAGTGGCTGTTGTTGTGTCGTTTGCAGGCCACTGCCAACCAGGAAGTCAGCCCGAATTCTGTCTCATTGTGAACCACACCGCCTTGGCGTTTGTCGACGCTGAAGCGGCCTGCCAAGCGTCGGGTCACAGTCTTACCACTATTCTAAACGACAGTCAACAGGACTTTTTAATGCGAACTCTTAAGCAGGTGCGTTGTCCTACCTTTATTCACTTCATTGAGTGCCTTGTATTTACTGATTTTGAAATAATGACTCAAAACAATTATTTGGCCTCTGTTTTATGATATTTGTCTCTCCGGATTTCCGTTACACTAATGGCCATGGATCACCATGAGACAAGTAGTTATGCCTGTGTTCACCATAATTTGGTCGATTTCTTCTTAATTCAGTGCAGCAAAGCTTCTTAACCCCCCTGATTTGTTCATTTTATGTCAACTGAGTGTGTGGATATCTTATTTGATTGCCTAACAGTCCCTAAAATTGTCAACTACTTTAGTGTACTTTGTCGGAATTAGCATGCACACAACGAGGTTTGATAGGTTCTTAATTGACTACTGAAATACTTTTAACTTATCTCAGGCCCTACCTCCATTGTATCCAAAGTGCATCTAATATGGCTGACTTATTCTACCAGTTTGTGACCCCATCTAAAATTATTGCTTCATGTTGTGTGGTTTTTTGTTACAGCAAAATGTCACAGAGCATTCCAGATACTGGATCGGCCTCCATGGCTTACATGGAGTCCCTCAGTGGATGTCCGGTTTCCCTGCCGTTCCGAACGTCTACTGGAAGACTGGGGTAGAGAGCTCTGTGAAGACGTGCATCTACGTGGACTCGAGTGAGTTCCAACGCCGCCACGAAGTCCGCTATGATGAAATGCCAGTTCACATTTTTAAGGTGCTGCTATGACACCCTCACCTTCGGGCGATAGCTTGTTTGCCCAAATCACACTACAGCGCTATTTAGTGGTGCAATGCCTTGAAATAATTTCCAATTTACCCTCTGGATAAGGGAGTGAATGTCGTGTTTGTTTAGTGATAGAGTAGGTTTGGTCACTGGTCAACTATTGAGTTATGTTTCTTTGTGTAAAAAGTTGGTCGTTTTAAGGACGTCAGATTTTTCAGTCTGGCGGCGCTATGTTTATTCTAATGGCTTCATAGGCTGTTAGTTTCACATTCAGGAAGTTCCAAGGCAAATTCTTGAACCGGATAATCTTTTCCTCAGTCCTTGGTGTCTTATGTTCTCGCTGCTTGCTAATGTCTCCCCACTCTTATTTTATTCTGGATTTGTGTTGTGGGCCCCAGCATGTGGTCCTGAACCACACCGGGGCCACTGAATTAACCCTGGCTCGGTTACGCTTCCCTGATGCCCGCGATGACGAAAAAGGCGAGAGAGGACGTGGACACAACCGTTTGCACCAGTGCTCAGCTAAGTTAGTGTCGTTGTGTCGTGTGTGGGGTTTGCGCGTGTGTATTTGTACCTCAGATGTGTGAGTCACAGATGAGCTGACATCGAGACCTAGGCGTGGGGATAATCCAGGATAAATGTTCGCGCGAATGAGGGAAGAGTTGTGGATCCGCGCGGCTGGCAACATGCTGCGAAAAGGGGAACCTTGTGTCGGAGGCTGGAGTGGTCGGATTAGCGAGTGTGAATCAAAGCGATTCACAACATTTTAAACCATTTTCTTACCTTCGGTTTTTTGATGCAATATCCTGGAGCTTAGCAGTTTTGTAGGATTTATTGGAAGTGAAGGGAGTTGTGCCAAAATGTTGACACGAGTTGCCCCGTAAATTCTCCAAACAGTAAATAATATAAGGTCGATGGCCTCGGCCGCTTGTTTGTGCTCAGCGTCAAAATGAGAACAACTGACCTCAGACTGGCTTCGGATTCATTTCAGGCATCAACAGTTTGCTAAGTTGGGGCACAGAAAGCTGCTCACAACAGTATCCGTTTGTGTGCTCCAAGGCACCTCCGTCGCCGCCACCGCCGCCTCCTGAAACTCCTGCCCTCGATCCAGGTCACGTCAGCTGCCACCCCGGTTTCACCCTTGCTGGTAGGAAGTGCTACAGGGTATGTGAGTCAGTCAACACCTCCCCATTTTTCACACCTCATTATCGTCTTAGCCTCAGTTCGCACCAATTCCCGCTACACAACTTTTGCGCCCCTTTATTCACGGTTCCATAATTATGTTTACTTGATTATTTAAGTAGTAGCATCGACTTATTGTCAGTTTGTGGATATTTATTAATACATTCGTCGTTTTGCAGGTCGAAAGTGACCCACAACGTAACTTCACGTTCGCTGCAGCCGTCGACGAGTGCCGGCGTAGTGGTGGCCACCTTGCTACCGTCTCTTCGCTAAACGAACAGGGTATGTTGCATTAAACTGTCGTAAATTATGCACCATGGTTTTGCTCCTTACCGTCATAAGCCGCACGCTTAATCCAAAATGGAAAGTGTGCCACCCCTGAAACAACGTGTTTCATACGTCATGCCGACTTGTCGAAAGTTGCTCCCGATTAACACGACCCATTACTGCCAAAGTTTATTACCGCAGGCTTTCGAAATGGCACTCAAGCGGTGACAGGGACTTGGTACTAGCTCCGCCCAAATGCTGATTTGTTATCTGCTGCCTGTAACCCAGATTCGGGGCACACGACATTATTCTTGCAGTTGTGTGCACATGCGTAAATTTGCCCCACTAAATTCAGCCTAAGTTGTATGTGTTGCAGAAGCAACAATGAACATATTTCTAAGTCATGTAAATTCTTCTAGTTGCATGTTAGCGTATACTTTATGCACTGCATATAATAGAACTGGCTTATCTAATCGGAGTTATCTCTGTATCTTAGATATACTGTCTGTACTTTTGGCTGATCACTCACTGCCAGCATGGATTGGACTCAAGGCGACAGATCAAGGTCACCAATGGGTCACCAAGGAGCCAATCGCATACACGAACTGGATGACAGGAGAGCCTAAATGGCACGCAAACGTAAATATCCCAGCTGTGATCATTAGTGTGCTTTCACTCAATGACTGACAACTCATCACCGGTTGACTAGTTCAATCTCAATTGTAGTGTTCTAGTTGTTTTTTATTCTGTACTCGTGAAGGCCTAGATGTTGCTTCTCTTCTTTGTGTACAAACTTCTGCGCGTGAATTCTATTGCACTTTCTGGGAAGGTGCAATTTCACTTGCAATGAACCACCTCGGTTCTGTGGTAAATAATTAAAATGCACTAGTGAGAAAATACCATTATATGATTGCAATTCACTGATGTAATGTTTTATCTTATTGAAAATAGTTGGGAGGTGTGCAGGACCTTACTTAACGGTTAATAAATAGGCTAACCCATGGTTATCTGGCAGTGAATGTAGAGACCATGATCATTCCTCGGTAACTCTCGGACCACAGCAGTTCACCTTCCACATGATAGGTTTGTGTCTCAAGCTTTCTACCGAAAACCATTCGTCCATGTCAACATCTTGTTAGTAGATATACCTCGACGTTTCCTGCAGCTTTGACCGGATAAAATAGCCTACTCTTTCTTTTTCTTATTGCATCCTTCATCTTAACTATTTTCTTCAATTTCATGCCTACTACACATGCGTCTTTTTTACAACATTTAGAGAAACGCGGTGTGTGCATTTATGCACAGTCGTGAGGCAGACCTTGGTCGATGGTCTGAGGCCAGCTGTGAACAAGAAATGGGCTTCGTTTGTGAGACCGGTAATTCCCATTGACCATTATTTCGCACCTTTTATCACTCAACTGACCACCGAGGCATTCAACAGTGTATGTGTGCTTGTGTGTTCCCTCAATTGCCAACATTCCTTTGTGAATTTCATAGTTTGTACTTGTAGCTTCGTTCAAGAAATGTATGTAACACACCCTTCGTGGCCGTTCAGACCTAATTACAACCGGCTTTTGTTCAGTTACCCAGGTGCTTGTGTTTGTCAGCAATAGCTGCCCGTTTGCATGAATCTTTTTCGTACCAAACAAGGAAACGACTGCTTGTAAAAAAAGCAGTTTTAGGTCTGTGGAACTGAATGCAAAAGAGACTGGAATGTGAGCTTATGTGGAAAGTCAACAACAGATTAGCATTAGATTTAGCACAAATTGACCATTACAATTTCAGTTGTACAAAATGAATACGCGCACCCTTGAGCCATGTATCACTCTCTCGTAGGCGGTGATGCGTCAAAATCTAACTGCCATTGTCGTTACTCACAACCACTGACATTGGAATGTTGCTTTCTCAAGAATATGTCTGTGTTCTCTGCGATGTACACGTGTTTGTATGTTCTCCAATGTATTCTGCCACTTGACTCTCTAGAACCAACGCAGACGCAGTCGGCATCGGTCGGGCCCCACCTATTTAGCCAAGGTGACTGCGCTCCCGGTTTCGTGCACCACAAAGGCGCGTGCTACCAGCTCCTCTTGCACGCTGCATCACCCAGCACCGCCAGGGACGCCGCAGCCCTGTACGATGATGTGAGCACAGCCTGTGCCGCCCTGTCGCCACTCCCACTGCCCTGTGACAAAGTCCGTGGCCTGGCTGGCTGCCCTGTCACCATGACACCGCACTCACAGTCGGAGGTCGCTTTCATGCGACTGCTGATTGGTCAAAACCCATTGATACGCGAAGCATGGGTTGGCCTTAAGGTCCAGTCCACTAGTACTTTGGTGAGTTGCTCATATTGCACATTGTATGTGTGTGTTTGCTACAAACCGGCTCATTCATCAAATGCTAGTCAACATTTTTAATTTGCATATATGCTTCCGCCGAGGCAAATGCTTGTCTTCACTAAAGTCGGTGTTGTGGCAGATGGTGTAACAAACCGGTATTTGGTTCCTCATTTGTGTGTACCTTCTCTTGTCACATGTTAACATCACACATAAAAATTTAATGTTTGCCCTTCTGTTACACTAATCGTTTCTCTAGCATGTTATTGAAACACTAGCTATTAAAACTTAAAGGCGTAGGAGCGACTTGTCGAGTTAGTGGTGGTTTCTCCAATCGCATCTGTTAAGTTAACTGTTTCATCGCCCGTCGTCGTTCCTCCAGGATATTGTTCAGTCGGAGGATCTGGTGGCGTTGGGAAACATCAGCCTTGACCTCACCGCTGTCTTCGAGCACACCCGCATCTCCGCCCAAGCAGACAGTGTCTACACTTGTTTCTCCCTCCACAGAGACGCGGTCTTTTTGAGCCCCCGCCTTTGCTCCTCCGCCGTCCCCGCCGCTATCTGCGGCTACCACCTCGGTAAGTGGTCACGTTTTTACCAACTATTTGTTCTAAGAAAAATCACATAGTATTAACGAGGTGTGTATCGACAATAAGCATCATTTTCGAATTCCTGGCCTGCTGCACTACTGTTCTCAACCCATTAGCCCCAAAGTTGAAGTACTGGCTATTAGCGAAGAAAAGAGTATCAGTAGCTGATTTTGTTGTTTTTTTGCCACCCTTCATCAAATACCTCTTGCTTAGATTGTATGATCCACTAATTGATTATGGCCAGTCACAGCTCCTTTCAGATTTTTAAACGCAGTTTTGTATGTCAGCTGCAGTCTGCGGATGCAAAATCTCTTACTAAATGTGTGGAAGCTTGCGCAGGATCAATAGGTATTATCTTTTTTTTTCACTGGCAATGATACATTCACAAGTGCATCACGAAAATCGGGATCCCATTTAGAATCGCCGTTCTCTATCAGTGAAAATTTCAAATAACGCTAAATTTTACCACACAATCTTACAGAAAGTGTTCAAAATGTACGTCATTATGTGCGATGTAGATATGACATGGTTCAACGGTGACAAAACTTTGTACCGTTTATATGTAATTGTGAATAATCGGACTTCCCTGGCATTCAGCTAAGTCTAACAAAACTACAATCTTTCAACACCCCCTAGACACCCGTCCTTTGCATCCCCAACTCACCAAGTCCGAGGACTACGCTTGCCCCGGAGCCTTGATTCAGGCCGGTGGGAACTGCTTCTACAGTGCCACAGAAAAAATGGCCTGGTTCGCCGCGGAGAACTTTTGTGCCAACCTCGCCCATAGCAGTTCCTTTTCACTTGAAATGGACAGTCATTACTCCGGACACCTTCCTTCCGTCCATGACTCGAATACACTCGCATTTCTCGCTCAGATGCATGGCACTCAACACTCCTGGCTTGGTCTGCGCACACTTCGTAAGTAATGTCCGCAGCGGTTCACTAAACTTACCCTATTTCACAAAAAATATCGTAAGTTAGCTTCTAAGTCATTTTTGTGTTGGATGAACATTTAAGCCTCTTTTTCGTGTCAGTTTGGTGCACCTCGTCCCGTTTCGAGGCTAATAACACGACCGAACGTAGACAAAAGCGATGTAGAGGAAGGGCCTCGATTTGTTTTCTCCCTCACATAGGTGGTTTCCGAGGTTTCAATGAATCCTGGGCGAGCTCTCCACTCCAGTGGTCTGATGGCAGTCCCGTGGGGTACTTGGCGTTTGCTCAGGGTCGCCCCTCGCTTACCGACGATGTCGGGCGCCTCGGGGGCTGCGTTGCCCTCGAGCCCGCAACACACCGGTGGAGTGATGTCTCGTGCGACGAGTCTCTCGCCTTCGCCTGCCAATTCCCCATCGAGGCGTTCCCCAAACACCAACCTGCCAGTGGTAAACCTTATTGCTCGTTTCTCTGCTCAAAAGTTTGTACGTAGCGGTGTACAATTAGCACACAGTATCTCGAAGTTAATCTGTGTCTCTTTCACCTTTTCATATAATCCTCTTCCACACTTTCGTTCGATGCGGATTTATTAGTCGTTGCTAACTCTTCTCCCAAGTAGCTTTGTTCCTCGATTTAGATTAATATACGGCCGCATAGAAAAAAACTGAGGATTCAATTGTTTCCCTCTTTTCTCAAAACCTACCGCTGCGATTAAGTACAAAGCGAATTTGGTGGTTTTGGATGGCATAGACATTTACGAATTGGATAGTATCTCACAGTTATATAATCCATTAAACGTTTCGCTACTATTTTAGTACTTTCCTGCTCTTAGGTAACAAATATTTGGCAACAGTGGAACAGTGTCCTTCGGAATTTCCTTTGTTCACGAAAAGTGCCTGCTACGCTGTCATCGAGAAGCCTCTTTCTGTGAAAGAAGCCCTGACAGAATGCAAAAATTTGAATCCCAAGTCAAGCCTAGCGTCTTTCCACTCAATAGAAGAAGAGATGGGTCTGGTGGGTTGTTTTCAATGTCGTTGTACTTGAATTCTGTTTGTCCCTCCATTTCGATTGGACCATTTTATATAAGTCCAAATCCACTCTTGTCTCCAATAGGAGATTAACCAAATTATATGTCAATCTGAGAGAATTATGCGTATTCGAAGCAGCTTATTAGCCGCGGATGCTTTTTCACCCAAAGTGGCTGGTTCTGTATCTCTCACAGTATGAATGAAACGCCGTGCCTATTAACACCCACGTACTTTCCACGAACTGAAGCCACTCGGGGGTGCTCTTGTGCGTTTCACTTGGTCTACTAAGCCTTTCCGATAGGACTATGTACGTACACGCCAGTCTCAGCATGAAATCGCATCGTTTGTGTCCATTAGGTGAGTCTGCTTGGTGAGAGGCCACAGCCCGCCTACTGGATGGGTCTGTCGCAGTCGGACTTGCAGTACGCCTGGGCCGACACCAGCGTGGTGGACCACATCCCTAAGCACCGAATGCCCGCCGAGACTTCCCACCTCTGGCACTTCCAGGATTGCTTCACTTTCAGTCCTTTTGTAAATACGGAAAATTCCAAAACATGTACGTCGTTATCTTGTGGATTCTTTCAGCTCACTGACACACTTTACATTCACAGTTTGCTCTCAACTTTTGAATGCCACGGTTTCAGGACCTGCTGCGTACGCCGTGATGGCAGCAATCGTATTTATCGTTTGATTATGTGCCGAAATAAGGTTGGGCAACCTTTTGTGTCTGTCCTTCAGTTTAAAGCATTCTTAAGAGCTAAATTCGATTGAAGTTAAGACTTCGCATTCGGTCACTCCAATTTACCCCTCCAAGCCCAATTGTATCCTGATGAACTCTTGGCGTTAGTTTCCGTTGCTCAGGACCGCGCCACGCGCCTCAAATTCCTGAAATCGCCTCGTAGACATCTTTCCGAGTTCTCCACACTCAATCCTTCTCTATTCAAAATCAACACCTCACCGAATCGCATGAGGAATTAAATAAAATTTAAACCGTCTTTAGCATTCTAATCGCTCCCGCTGCTATCGTTTATTCCTCTTAAAATTATCTCACGCGTTTTCAAGTGTGTGTTCAAATTTCACACAGGACTCTTTCAAGCCATTTCTGGGTTACGTAACGAAGGTGACAAATAACATTATTTTTAGTTATCACGTGGAACGAGACAGACTGTAATGCTAAGCGACCCTACATATGCCAAGTCTACATTGGTGCCCGCGGACCACCGTCTGTGGAACCGGCCCATCCACCTCCTTTCGGCTTGGCTCCGATTCGCTGTCCCCGTGGCTACCGACAACACGAGGATCGTTGCTTCAAGGTACGCCCCTAGGTTTCCCCTTCAGTACATACTACGGGTCTACGACTAATTGTGTTTGAGGGTTTTTAGCCTGCTGCTACTTCTATTTCCTATCGTGCATCAAGATGTTCGCCATAAGCCCGGTTTAGCAATTCTCTTGCCGTAGCTCCCGCTCTTGACAAAATACCCAAAGTTTCCTTTTGACATTTTACTTAGTAACGGACTCTGAATTGACTTGTTTTACGTTAATACCTAGCTATAAAGGCCATGGGTTGCCTACACTCAAACTACTTCCTCCTCAGATGCATCGATTTGCCAATTAAATTCTGTTAAACATTTGGTTAAGGCATTGGTCTCACTTAGCACTTTTTTTCAGCACGATGGTTGTTATTGTTGCTTCGGTTTTGCTAGCATGAGTGTAGGAACACCTGGGATTTGTGGCCCAGGGTTGCATCGGTCATGAGGTGGTCGCTTCGCCTCCAGCAACTCCAACTGTACGCATCCTCTTTCCTCCTAGTTCATCCCCAAGGCCGCATCTTTTGATGACGCCGAAAAGGCCTGCAAGGAGGAGGTAAAGGGAGAGCCAGGCTTCGTCGGTTCGCTGGCCAGAATATCTAATTCACGAGAGCAAGGTACGTTGGTGACTCGGATGCAGTCTTTAAAGTCACATCACTTTCTGCTAACAGTGGACGTACGGCCACCATTGGGTCAGCTAGTAGTGCTGAACAACTATGTCATCAAGGAAATACAAACAGGCTCCCTGACGAAAATGCTTTAATGTTTATATTCACTGAGTCCCTCGTTCACTGGTCGCTTAATTGTGCAACAAGACTACGTTTACTTGATTATTAGGTTCTGACTAGTATATTAGTTTAGGGGAAATGATCATGCTTGAGACCACCATCTATTTTACAAGTATCCACGTACGGCCTTGGATTTGTGGTGCCTTAGTTGCAAGGTGCTTGTAAACGTGGTCTTTGACATTTCAGACTTCGTGTCGGGCCTGTTCTCAGCAGAGGCTCCAAGCCAGCCGAGCATGGCGTGGATCGGGCTGCGCGGAGGACAGTCTCATTGGACCGATGGCGGCGAATTCACATACTCCCGGGAGGGCATCGACTTCCCACTCTCTGTCACTCAAGACAAGGAGGACATGGTGAGTCCTCCCTTTTCTCTACCCACTCTACCCTTGTCAAAAGCCATTTGACTTTTACGGACGCTTTAGTTGGGCTGTTTACACGTGTAATGTTATGTTAAAATAACCCAACTATCTTTGTTCCTAACTGTTTGATATTGATTAGTTTATGTTAGTGCAGTCACATACTGCAACATGTTTGGTTGAACGAATCGGTGTACGTTGAAGTTGTTCTCCATTTTCCACTTATTTCTAGTGCACAGTGATGCTGTATTCGTCGAACATCCACTTCAACGGCCTCTGGTACCGCTCGCCATGTTCCCTAAACAACCAAGCCTACTTCGTTTGCCAGGCTCGAGCTACCGCTGAAGCACACGACCCCTCTACCCAGTCGGTGGCGTCGGAAGCCCAACCCGCGGCAGTTTGTGCCGATGGCTATACCCTTGGCTTCTTCAACAGCACCGCTATCAGCCTCGGGTCACCTAGTTCCCTACCCCACTGTCTCCAGCTTGTCTCCTCTGCTCCAATGACGTGGGAGGTAATTCAGTTTTCAGTACAGAGTTGCCGTTCGTGTGGCCAAGATTTTCATCGGAAATTTCAGTGTGTGCTTTGGAAGAAGATTCTTTCTGTCACTTGAGCATGGTTTGTGTCACCTCTCAGAAACACTAGTAGCTACCGCGCCATCCACTAATGGTTAATTATTTAATCGTGTTTCTCGGTAAATCCGACGTTGAATCGGCTTCGAGTAAAGTATGCGGTTTATTTTCTTTTCTGGTATAGTTAAATGAAGTGGATGAATCGTTCACACCAGTTCAAAAAGCGTTAAAACATCAGAAGTGTTGTTGACGTTTTGTCCGACAGAACGTCAATTTAAGAAGGTGCAGCTGACATTTAAATCACTATGTGGAGGTCAAGTAGGCATGGTTGGAACATTTGCGAGCTGTTTCTAATACTGTTCATATGGGGATGTGGTTTTCCTCAACAGTGTCATTGTGGCAAGAAGTTGCAAAGATAATTTGCGCTCATGTCGACGCACAAATCGCCTTTGTAGCGGTCTCTTTTTCTGACTCCGCGGATAATGCGTACCTAATCAGTTCTTGTCAAATTGTAGAAAAAGTTGCACACAAATTGGAATTAGTAAACTCCTATGTCGCCGTGGAACCGTTGTACTAATTGCGACATGTCACACTGTACCGACGACGATTTAGTCATGATCAAGCTTAGCGCCGTGCAGCTGCTCTCATTTGTGCTGTTTGTGGATTTTCGATTTTTTTACAGGAGGCGCACAACCTATGCAAGGCCCAGTCGGCCAGTTTGCCCTCAATCGACACCCTAGCGGACTTGAGTTTCCTGCGTTCATGGTTGCAGACACCTCGGTCCCTCGGTGGCGCCGGGTTCACGGCAGATGCCGCTGTCTGGCTCGATCTCACCGTACCCGAGTGCCCCAAGTGTTATTCGGTGCGTTTTTGTGCCTGCTGCTTTCTCTCTTATCGATGATTTCTCAACCGGTGAATGGCGTGCTCTTTCGGCAAACATTGTGGCTTTTTGCGCATGCATCGAGAGGGGATGTTGTGGGAGGTCATTGGGAAAATATCACGGAGGCGGCGGGTGGTAGTTTTTTTTAGAGGCGAAGTGCAGCATGCTGTCGATAACGTTTTGTAAATAATAGTTGTTAAATGCTTGCCGTTCTATAACTATGCCACCGGCTCGTGCCCCATCGTACTCAGATCTCAAAAATTTCCTCCAAAACGGATACGGGAATGTGTACCAACTTACCATGTTTTATGCCTCCATTTATCATTTTTTTCTGTCGCATTTTTTGGATAAGTTTCTTCTCCCATTTGTTTAGAAATATTTCGATTCAACTGTTTCTACGCCCAATTGTGTTTTTTTAATGCATGCACATCGTATAGAGCAGTTGTTGTCTTTTCTGAAGACCTTTTACCGTGTTCATTTGCATGGAATTGGTTCCTAGTTGTTTGGAGTTTTAGGTCGCAGCAGCAGATTAGCCATCTGTCCTTTTGACGGTTTTTAACTGCCTTCTGTCTCTACCATTGGTTTGAAAGGCCTCCGCTTTAGACAGTGCGTGCAATTGGTACAACGACTCAAAATAGGTTACTTGTTTAAAACCTTTCCTAATGCGTAAGTGCGGTCGAAAAAGTATACATTAAACCCCCCATTTCGTTCACCTTCCCTATGCTATGACAGTAGTAGAGAACGAATTCACACACACACACACCTTTAACCACACCGTGCTGTTTTAGCAATGGAAGTGGCACGCCAACGAGAGCAATATGTCCCCAGTTCGCATTACGGATTGGTTCAACGCCCCGACTGATTCCTCCGGTTGCTACATGTTCGCCGTCTCACCTCCGAGCGTGTCCTCCAAACTGCGCTCCATCCGGCCTGCTGACTCGTGCACAACCACCCGCCTGCCTGTGGTCTGCCAGACGGACGCCCGAGTGCTTCTGGGCTCTGCCCAGTCAAGTGCTGCCGAGTCGGGCATCGCGTCGGTTGGATCGTGTGTCAAGAATCCCACTCCGGAGCTTTCTTCGCTGCCAAGTTTCCTAACGAATGTCAGTGTAGGCAAATCGGGCAAACCCTGCATACGGTCAGTTCTTTCTAGTCCCTACAAGCATCCACAGTTCACTCCTAACTAGGCCACGTCTGGTCAGAATGTTGTAGGTACGGAAACACAGGCGCAATGCCGATAAAAAACAATAATAAGTGATTAAATTCGGATGTTTGCTTATTGATAGGATGATTCATGTGCTCTAGCCTTGGCCGAAATTCAACAAAGTCAATTCGCACCAAATTCAACTTGCAGTAGGTGCAGATTGGTCTTGCCGATCCCAATCGGATTACAGCCTTATCGAATCGGTAAATGTTCGGATGGTGACACTCATGCTATCGGTTTGAGTCTTTAAAATGTACTATTTTCTATAAGCGACCGAGTTGCCCATGAAAATCAACGCACATGTGATTGGGTAATATTAGAAATAGTACGAGAATTGGCCCGAGGGACCAGCAGTAGTCACTCAAGGAAGTGCTTGTATGTTGGCACTCTGTCAGTTCTGAAATCAGGGGCCAGGACACCTTAGCACGTTTCCCTATAGTGGTAAACAAACGGTGACCATATTGGTGGCGTTTGTGTTAGGTGCGTGCATTTGATAGTAGATTGGGTATCTGTCAATGGACTTTTGGCAAATTGTGATCACCAGGTTGGGTGCTATTCGGAGAAGTATGTTTGGACCATACTACTATTATAAATGGCGAAAGAGGAGGCTTTGGGCATCCAACCGTTCAAACATCGCTCCCATAATTTTTCGTTTTCTACTAAGATCAGCAAAAGTATACTTTAAATTTTACATTTGTGACGTTGCCTTTAGTGAATTTCGCTGTGGATTGCTGTTCCAGGTCAGCTAATGCGCTGTTACGTAGAGTTAGCAGGCTGTCACATAGTGCCCTGTAGGCATGTCATCTTTTGTGGTTTTATCTTGTTACACGTTCCACATCTACATAGTCATGTAATTTTTGTAAATATGCTGCCGACTTAAATACTTAAATAGGAAGCCTCTTTGGACCAAACTAATCACTAATGTGGGTCCATCGTTAGTGACAAGCGAGCTTAACTGCCTCACACTCACGTGATGATACCGGCTTTGATTTTGCTTTTTTTCTAGGTGGGATCTGGTGCAGCACAACTTAGACCGACCAGACGCACTACTGCCAAAGCACTGGCGAATCTTCTCCGCTGAAATCGCCTACGCTATTCATCAGAGTCCCTTTTCTGACAACTACTGTGCCCACTTGGCTGTGAATAGCCGATCCAGCGAATCGGGCAACCCCGTCTACCGCTATGCCTGCTACACGTCAACCGACCCCGAAACTGGACTTGAGGCGAGTTTCATTAACCCCATTTTCGCGTTAGCACGAGTGGCTCCTGGTTAAGCGTTTGACAAATGTGAGGTCTTCCGCGCTGCTTTCAATGGTGACAGTGTTTCCGGTTGAACACCGGTAATGTCTTTGTTTACGGCGAAAACTATCCACTAACACCTACTTCTGCCTATTGCCGTTTTCTTGAAAGTAGTTTTTATTGGGATGAATGTTTTTTAGTCAACACATGTTGTTCACTTTTTGGCCTTAATATCGCCTTTTCCTTATTCAGGACTGTGAAATGGAGAGTTGTCAGCTGGCTGACGGTAGTGGTGGCTTGTCTTCGGGGTGGATTGTCGCAATCATGATTTTCTCCCTCCTCTTCGCTGCCGCAGCTGTGGTCGGTATGTTGTACCTGCTGTGTGGTCGACGTCACGACCGATTCCTCCACCACCACGGTCGTTGGGTTTCACCCCTAAAAGTGACCTTTAGCAGTTCCGTCTTTGGTGGAGCACCTCTTCAGCATCGTGGATTCTTTTACCATAGCGACCGCGGTGAGAACTTCGAGAACCCATTGATCCCCTCCGTGAGGATGTTTGACGCGACGACATCCAGCTTGATCACCCCCAACGCACCTTCTCACCCTGCAATGTCGTCACTCACATTGAAAAACCAGCTCTACCGGCCTCTTTATGACGAAGATCCTCTTCTCTTGGATGAACCAGACAATGCGGACGAATTCACTGGTCCTGTCTGAAGCGTCCGTTCGTGTGTGTGTGTGTGTCTAAAACTGCCTTTTCCATGCAACCGGCTGTGTCATTCAGGCGTCTTTTTTATACGTTTTGGTTGTTACCCCAACTATTTTTCCCGCTTTTGACCCCCCCCTTTTACACCCTGTACAAACCTCAATGTCATCTGTCAGCATCGTTTTCGTAGATTCTGCCAAAGGCACACTTTGTGATAAAAAATGTTGCTCGTATTCATGTGAATTAGGATCTGATTCGATCTACTAAAACCCTCAGATCTTCAAAGCTTGTCATTAACTATTTCAGCTCTTTCAACGGGTAGTTTTTTACCCGAATTTTCCTAGTTTATTTGCCTCAAACCGACTTCTACCTCATCAACACATACCATCGACTTTATTTGCTTGTCCGTTAGTCCTTTAAGTATGGGGGTAAACAGTCGAAATGGCTAATACAAAGCCATTTATGGCAAATGGTGTCTGCAACGCTGGAATTTTGTTAGTTTTTAAGCATGCTCGAACTGTCAAACGTAAACATTGAAAACGAAAACAGTGATCCATCAGATTCGTCTAGCCTGCTTGTAGCAGGCATTTTGGAGAGGCTGGGGACGCGAAATACGATCCACTACAGTGATTGGAATTCCCGCTTCCCATAACATCGGTTTGCATTGTCCACCAGTCCTATTTCAGGTTTTTTGCAGGGTTGAAGGCTGGTTTGACGTAAATAATAGGGAATGAATGGTAAGTCATAACATCGGCAGACGGAGTTTGCTGAGTTTGTAAAACTCTTAAATCCAGTATCTCATTACCTTCCGTAGAACCAATGGAATCTTAGGTGACGGTAGACACACTTTTATTTGACCACGAGACCTGTTAATTTTGTTTCGTTGCTTGTCCACATACATGGAAACCTAATATTCAATTGAATACAGTCCGCAAATCCTAATCCATCCATTAGACTTTGAACCGGTGTCGACTAACTGCCAATTCATTGCAACCTTGCAAATGAAATTAGTGAGGCGTTTGACAAAACTACTTGCGAGGGCAGCATGAACGGACATGTAGAATGCAACACACACAGCGCTGATGTTGTATTTCATCGGTCAGGCATTACGATTGGTCCCTCTCAAGCATTATGCGAACTTGGTAGAAATCCAATTTTATTCTCTTATACCCAGTATTATGGAACTGTTGAATGCCATACAAAGACGTCATAAATCAGTCGGACACTTGCGGTTAACGCTGAAATTGCGCTTTCATAGCTAAAACACCTACTTCCAAATATGATGGAGAGCAAAGTGACTTGTGAACCTCTCGCACAGATACAAGGGTTGGTGGAGAGTACCAATTTACGTTGTCAAACACCTCACAAAACCACCGAACAATTGTACAAAGTCTCGTGTGACAAATAGGTAATACGTCATGATCAAATAGACTGTGCTGAAGTCACAGGACTTGAAAATTATGCACAGCGTGCCCCCCCCCCCCTCCTAAGCCTTGTGAAGCACCAGACGTAGATTTTCGTATTGAGGAGATTTTGCGGGTGAGGCTGCATTGATAGGAATACGAGGATTTCCTTTCACTCCTTAAATACCGTAAAATCAAAATGACCTAAATTAATAAAACCAGTGGCATTAAAATGGTTGTAGGCCTGGTGTTGAAGCAGCTTCGCAATGCTTTGCCTTTCCAAATAACACACCTAGATAGATAATTCACACAATTCCTTTGGGTATTGAAATTTACTCGCACCTCTATTCTGTGTGAAATTGTGGAGTCGACCTTTTATATCTACACATCTTCTAAATTAGCTCTTACCAACGATAAGGCAAGTGTAACATCTAGAAAAGTGGTCACAGTTAGCAGATAAGACAGGACTGTAACCCCCTGAAATTAATTTCACATAAGCGGTTGCTAGTGCAAAGTTAGGTGGCATGTCTTAGAGAGGTGCGCAGGTTTCCGGCAAGCCTTTGATGGCTTGCAAATACCTGTTCGCTACTGCGCTCTACGAACTGTCACGAGGCATAAGTCTGCTAGTGATCTCTGTACGCGCAAAACACTCGCTACCATATGCCTTAGTTGATCTACATAATTGACGTCTTTAAACGAGCTTGCCTTCAGCTCATTTGCAGCCATTTTCTGTTGCCAATAGCAACTGAGCTTGTCACGCAACCTCCCGCGACATATTCTGACAGTGATTTTCATCGTGAAGCAAAGTTTCATGTGTCTAATTAAGAAAATTGCATTACAGGGCGCTTACTGCTGATCTGCTTGTGAATTGTATCCGTCTGCACGACAGACGGACACGAGTGTGAATTTGAAAGATCAGCAATGGCTACACGTCCTTTGGTACCCTGATTGAATGTAACCAACTTTGATTGAAACTGATATTTTGGGGAGCTGACAGCCACAGTTAATAAGTACAATTATCCGAAGGATCCAAAGGTTAATGTTGCAAGGCAAATTTTCCTTGATGATTGTTTGAGTAGTATCTCCGTTTTGCATGATGCAGTACGGTTAATGTGGTTATTAGCAAATTATACCCAATCGGAATTGATATTACATAGAATAGATTTGTTTCCAAGTAATCGAATCTTGGCGAATCTTGCTAGAGTAAAACATTGCCGTAGTCTTACTAGAACCAACAGAAGCATTAGAATTTCAAGTGCATTTCGGGTTCAAATTGATGAGGAAGCTGTTGCGTTACCATGTTTAAGTAATAAAGATAAACAGCGATTATCACTGCGGGTGCTCAAACCATCAAACAATTTTAACACATAAATTACTTTTTTGTTGGGAAATCAGCAGTACTGCGTCGACCGATATCATGAATGGCGCGTTGCCGATTTTGCCTGAAATCCCAAAGACGGCGTGACTGACAGAATGAAGACATTTTCCCACGCGCTCGAGCCTTCAGTCCATGTCAAAGCCAAACTCCATGCCCGGGGGCCCAGTCAGTACCCCACCCAGAATATTGGCTTCCATTCAAGACGAGTACCCTCTTCTTGATCGATTGCCTTCCAACCTACCTCCAATTGCATAATGCTTCGTGTTCTTTTTTTTTCAACAAGTGTGCCGCTCTGAGAGGCTCGCATAGAATTGTACTACTGTCAAAAACAACTCAGACAGGTCATTTAGTACTGAAATACGCCACAAATTCCAGAAGTATCATCGAAGTCTTAGAAGCTCATGTGCTGTCAGGTAGTAGCACCGCTCTACCAAGTGCTTGCCACCACGAAACTTTGTTGATAGTGACTTTATTCGGTTAGCTTGGACGTCAACCCCACTGGCAGATAACCAATGAACGTAGCTTATTACCGTCAGCAGTGTACGCTTCACGAATTTCGCTCGAAGTTGTCCAGGTTTGAGGAAGTATGGGGACCTCATTTCTGACGTCAACACTTTATACATCTAAAAACGACACCTGAGAAGAAACGGTTAGGAGAACACAGCGATGGGGAAGTTCCTGGCTCGAAGACAGCCATACGCGTAATTTAAAACTATCTCAGAACCAAGGTCGATTTCACGATGAAGATGCCCCGTGCGACCTGCGTGAACACCGACAACACATGAAGAGTGCAAAATACTCCTGCATTTGGACACAGATGCCAATATCGCCGATTACAATTGCAAAATATCTACAGCCAACGTGAAAACTGGATGACTAATTAGGTGAATATTTAAAATAAGTAGAGGTGCCTACATCAGCAATTAAAGCGTAAGTTGTATTCTGTACAAACATTTTGAATTTTAAAATAGAACGGTGCGGAATAGGAGGAGGAGGAGGAGGGCGAGGGCGAGGCGGGGGTGAGGTGTGGCCAGCAGCGCCAGGAAGTCGTCGAGATATGAAAGCCCTTTGTACTTCTGGAGGGTGGTGGGACGAAGAGGCGTAGAGCTGCGAAGATGGGAGAGATTGGTATAGAAAATAGCCGGGGTGCGGTCCGTGTGTGTGTGTGCGTGTGTTGGGGGAGTGTGGCGGGTGCACTGAGGGCTCCTCAAGGGCGGTGAAACCTGGGGTGGAACGCAAATTAAAAAAAATACACTTTGTCAACATGTGTACTTAATAAAAAACAGTAGCAACAATTACGTACCTCGTAAATTGCCGGCTGTCCTCATGAACATCCATTTCTTTCGACTTGAACTCATTCAATTCCTTCCGGATATCAGCCTGAAAAAAGACACATGTTTAAATCGACATATTGTGCATGTTGATCCGACGTTGAAGACCCAACAGGATAAAGAACAATGTTTAGATCAACTGCATCACAGAAGCGCTTGAACGATGTCAACTTAAACAAAGTTTAACGGTCTTGATGTGGAGACCAGACGGAGTGGCAGGGGAGTCGGGGGCATTGAGGCACGAACCTTGTCTTTGGGCGTGAGACGAGTCCAGGGCTTGTCGGCGCGTCGGTCGTAGGCAACGGCTTCCGTGACCTCCACGTAGTCGTTGAAACGGATGATGCGGCGATTCTTGAGCTCCTCCACCGTGGGGCGGAAAGAAAGCTGCAAAATGAAAAAAACACGCGGCTTGTTCAATGCTACTTATAACAATGATAAATGCTTCATGCTGACCCCATTGATCGTCAGTTGCAGTGCATGGTCACGTTTCCACAACACGCCAGGGTGTGTGTGTGTGTGTGACAGAGGCTTGCAGCGATTAGCCAAATCCTCATTTCGCCACTGCATTAGCACAAACAGCAACCACAGCTGCAACGTGCACACGAAACATACTCCCAGCTTAAAAAATCTCGGAAATGTCATATTCAAGGTAGTTACGACGTTTGGCGACGAAAGTCCACAGGCGTCTGTGTGTGTGTGTGCCAAGGAACCGTTTTTACAGCACAAAATTGATTTCTCGATTAGTCATCTTTCGCATCTTCTTTTAAGAGAAACATGGTTGAGCTGTAGCTAACAAAACGAGCACAGTGGAAATCACAGTTCAACACCGGGAGGCGAGAGAAGTGGACAATCCACTCCCTCAGAGGCTACGACAACTTTGGTGTCTTTGGAGCGGCGTAAGCAGCCTTCGCGCAAATGACTTCAAAACCTGCCCTGCTTCCACGTAACGGTGCTTTCAATCCCGTGAAGAAATTGCAGATCCACATGCGTGTACATAACTATGCCAGATGGGGAGCAGCACCTTGTCAACACGAGGGGTCGCATCCAAGCATTGTTGGCGTGCAGTGGAGGAGGAGCAACTCCCTCATTAAGCCAACTTATTCGTGCATGCGCGTAAGCATCCATAACTAGAACAAACAAATGGCTGCAGTAATGCATTGTGATCGTGCAGAGTATGCGTGCTGGTTAATTGCAGAGCGGCAACAAAAGGACACCCAGTGGTGGGTAAAAGGGCCCGGCGGGCGACCTCACCTTGCGCGAAAGTGTGCGTCGCTTTTCTTCCTTCTCCTTCCTTCGGGACTCCTCTGTTCCCACTAAAATAAAGGGAGAAGTCATTTAAACAAACGAGCGCTTGATGTGAATACAATTCACTGTGGTGCGCAAGAAGCGCCCCAGTTAAAGTCGCGGCGTCCGCTTCAAACCGTGACAACAACACCAAATTTTCAATAATAGGGGAAGTGACTGTGAAATAGCAAGTAGAACACGGAAGTTCTGCACTTTTTAATACGAATCATTCGATAAGAATTTAAAGCCGTACTAAACAAATTCCGAATCGCGGTATTACGCTCCGATTGGTGCTTGAAGTGACGGTTCGCTTGACCATTATAATGCAAAAACACGTGACGAGTGTCGGCTACATCCAAAGCACATCGCCACTACGCATATCTAGGTGCTGCTCCGAATGCGCGATTCGATGACCAACATCACTCGTGAGGTCACACTAACAAGCACCTGGCCTGAACGGAGAGATTGCACAACAAGGCATCGAAGGGCAGCAAGCAAGGCCGCCGTGACAGCCGGTCAAATAAAAGCACGCAAGTCGGGGCAGCACTGGTTGTGCGCTACGAGGGTGCCCGCGGAAACCACTCACACCAACGCCTGCGACCTGACGAAGTACAAACCAAAAGGCTATCACCAATATTTAAACGTTGTACAAACTGCTTTCGGGGTCCAATGAAGCATCAATTCGATGTACTAATGGGCTTCAGCTTATTCCAACGTAAGGACTTGTGTGGGATCACGAAGTTAGAGTTGCTTTAAATTGCAGATCAATAAGGAGGACTTGACAATTTGACCAAAAAACTGGCAGAAACATGGGGCAACGTACAGTGAAGGATGTTTTTTTGCTCCAACTCAACAGCAGTTGGTCGCTGACTCAGCTGTCTTTCGAGGCTGACTTCGATTTTCGCGCGCAACTCCGCCTGCATCTGAGGCGTCCTTCTTGAGAGGATGTTCTTTGCTAGGAGGTCCTGGTGGCTGGGTCGGCGTTCAAGGAAGACGGAGAGGTGGAGGGCTCGCTGGCGCCACAGCTCAGAGTCGGTGCGGCGCAGCACAGCCAGCTCCTCGGGTGTGTTGGGGGCAGACCGCTGGCAGCAGGGCGTCACACCGTCCTCGGACTCGCCGCTGTCGTCGGCCGACGCAGTGGCGAGCCGCGCCCGGGAAAGGCCTGAGCTGAATCGCGCCGATAGCTCAGACACGGTGCGCAGGGCGGAGCTGGGACGCACGCCACCCGTGGTCACTTCGACTCGGTTCGGAGAAGACGAAGGCGAGAGTTTCCACATGTTACTTCAAGAGAGTGCAAATATACCATAATGAGGCAAGCCACCTTGGGATCCTAGCCCACAACGTTTAGCCTTTCAAAGAGCCGAAAGAAAGCAACTCTAGGGTCATTGTTAAAACCAGTTTTTTTACATATATCTAAACAGCCTCGCTCTTCATCTTAATACCATCTAGAGGACGATAAAATGACGTGAGCATAAGAAAACCAATTTCAAGGTACATAAACAGCCTTTGCAACCTTACTGGAAACAACTGTCCGGCGAGTACTGCCGAAGAGCGATCGAAAATAACACCAAGAAATGATGCGATGAGAAAATAGAATGGATGGCCTGATCTATGTGAGTGCTGTTAAATGAAGGCATATTGCTGATTGGTTTCTAAACACAAATTACTCAACTACTTGGCAACACTCAAATCTGATCCATGATGCTCTGTCAGTGGAGTTATTGGTTACTCTCGAACTGGAACATGATAAGAATATAACACAAAAAGTGACATGACCACAAAAGCGTAACAAAGTCGAGGCCTCTTCGAGGCCACGTAACGAGTGAGTGTGTGGGTGAGACGACGTCTTGAGTTCAAATCTTCGCGTGAATCCGAGTTTCAGGAATCCCTCTCCACTGGATTGGGCCAGCGTGTGTGTTGGCCTAATTAACGTTGGGAAAACATGAGCTGCCGATAATTAGATAGTAAAATTCTGCCATTTCATAGTAAACAACACCAAATGTATGTTTGGAGCGCCAGATCTTTGCAAAGGAACTTACGCCAGCCGAGTTTTGAGTTCCAAGGCTAAAGCGTCTGCCGCAGTGTCACCGTTCGGAGAGGTATGGTTTTGGACTGAAGGTGAGGTAGAAGGTAGGGTGGACTGCTGTGGTAGGAATTTCGGACGTTGAATCGGCAGAGACGGATTGCCGTCAGGCAGATCAAAGGCAGGTTGAGGTGCTGGGGGAGCGGTACCGTTAGCCAATCTTGTGAGCCCTGGAGACGGAGGACTGAAATCTGTGAGGGAAAAGAAAAGCAAAGGCTTAGGGCGGGCTTTCACCGAGACTTCCCACCTGATCAAGCTGTTATTAACTATGCATGCTAAATTAGACGAAACGATTATTAGTAGTGACGCGGTCGCACTTGGTTTTGGAACAAAGACTTTACTACAGCAAAAGCTTTATTCGAGCGCCTTAAGCACGGACAATGACGAGAAACCTATCGATCCGCGGACGAGGGCTAACCCTTCAATATCCCAACTTCCTACTCATATTCCTCGAAGAGGTGTGAGCCAAAACAGATGGTGCCGGTACAAGAAGAGACGTTTAGAGGATGCACAAAGCTGATTTTGCGTTCAGTGCTCAGAAGCCGGAAACATTGAGAAAACCTAAATGGAAGATCTTCGGGATGCTACTTGATTGATAAGGCAGATGCTTTGATGGGCTCTGTGTTGGTTAGGAAAGTCACAAGCACAGGGATTGAAGAAATCAGTGCAATTTTTCATGAAAAAGACGCTTGGTCAGTTTCTGTTAATGCACTCAAAGCAAAAAGGATGTTGTTTGGTGTAGAAGGTGTTGTGCAATATGAAGGATTTTATGAAAAGAAGCATTAAACATAAGCATGCTTCGTACGCCGGCTAAATCCGAATGCCAACACAACTTCGTGACACAAACACCTTTTGTGCATTTGAAATTGTGGCTGGTATGAAAGCACATCGGCAGATGCGGCAGGCTATTCCTACTCCCCGTGCTTTCAACATTCGTCTTTTGCGTTGATGCCAAACGTGCAAGGTTGTGGCTAGTCGGAGGGGGCTCTAGATAGTCCCGACAGAGCCGAAACAGCTGTCTGTGTTTTCAGGTTGATATTATTTTGAATTGATGTCTGTTCTGCCGCATGGATCGTATTTTCGCGAATAGTTGCAGAAGAAGGCACGATATTCGAGACAGACAAAACACATCCACCAACTGGGATAGAAAAGACTACGGTGAGATGCGGCCGATTTCACTACGCCTTAGTGTCGCGTCTTGATTATGCGCTTGGAAAGTGCCAACGACGTGCTGTCGCGTGCATGCGCACCAGATCCGATCAACTAAAAGCCACGCTGCAGCTCTTAGCAGGCGATGGCGGGCGCACAAAGGCCAACTGCTGCGCCACCGACCAACGACAGTCCTCCCACCGCCTCTCCTCCTCCGCCTCCCCCTTAATGGGCAATGACGCTGCCATGGAAAGTGCGAGGCGCAGTGCCATAATTTACCGACGGGGCGGAACACTACCACACTGGGAACATGGACATCAAGGACAAATGTACCCGGTTTAAACAATCAAAACACCGAGATTCACTACACCAAATAACCAAACACCGTTGTGACACTCGAAAAACGTAGATTTTAGATAAAATACAATTCGTGTTCTGGATTGGTATTAATAACCGCCTCCGTGAATAATGAATACACCACAACCTAAAGAATACGTCGGAAGGTCATGAGAACCCAAAAGGTACGGCATCTAGGCCTGCGGTATGGAAATTCACTTCATCGGACTTAAATGGTGGCGACATAGCCGGTGATAAGAGCTTTCTCGTGAGCCCACAACAAGCAGTCCCATGTGAGTGACGCTAGATAGCTCTGCACACGATGTAAGTGAGGTATTTAGTCGCACGATGCGATGTCCACGGGGGATTCCCTCTGTAGTAAGTGGGCTACACGTAATATCAATTTTAGGTGGCAATGCGACGCCCACGTACACGTTAACAGGGGCAAAATAAATGAATGCGTCAGCCGATGACAAGACGTTGGCCGATAAGCCCTTTGCACACTTAAAGTAGAAAGATTGCCTGCGAAAATAACAATGGCCACCCATAATTTCACAAGCTTCCCTTTGCACAGAGACACCCAACACGAGTACTGGGACAAGAATAAACGGCGTTTGAATGGTATGAAGAAATCAGCTACTCAAGGAGAGGCAGGTGGCCTCGTGGCAACAAGCTGGGTCATGAGTGCGCGGCTGGCCGAAAAGAGGAGAGTAAAACACACGAAGAGTGAATTCTACCGACAAAAAATGAGAAATTGATACCCGGGTATTGAATTTAATTACCCGCAACCATTATGTGCCATTGAAGGCAAAAAGGCAAAAGTATAAGCCTAGTGAGCCTTTTATGGCCCCAACTGTGAGACATAACTGAATCATAAAGCGCATTTCCCAAAAAAATTGGTGTGAAATGTCATGCATGGGACCGTCCCACATTCATCAGAAGAAGTGAGTTTATCTAAATTTATAACAGGAACACAATAGAAGTTGGTAGGTTTTAGCAATACTAGCATATTAAGTGGATAATAGTTCACCACGAGGAAAATCATGGGATTTAGTTATAACAGTGATTGTGTAAGAGAAGCTTAGCGGTACATGGGTGCAATATCAAAGAAGTGCCAAGTTAGTGCCTATCTTGCCCAAAATGGGTCTGTTCGGAGATAAACAGACGTGTAGAGCATTCAAGTGAATAGCATAAATTTCACCAGATGTCCTGATCTCGAGCAATGAAACTAGCTACATTTACTCGACATTAATTGCTTTCCGTAGTGCTTGTAAATAGCTTCCTTGATGCAAACCGTTACTTCGAAAAGTTAAAGTCACACTCTAAACAAAAAGGCCATTCCGATTCTTGGATGGATTCTCCGTTCCATGGTTTTGCCGCAGACAGTGACTAGACGCACGCATCACTGCATCACCATTGAAACACTGACACAATCTCGACTGAAAGGCCAGATTGAACCTATCGGCGGCAGGCACAGGTTAATGTCACTGCAGCAAGGTTAACTCTTGTATTACAACATTTATAACCTAGAAACATACGCAGCATGCAAACAGTTAACGTTGGTCACAAACTAAGCACTGGTTCAGGCCAAATTTGGTTGTTGCAGCATATACTGACATGCAACTATCCACAAATTCAATTGACAGTCCTCAGAGCAGAAACATAAAGGCTACAAGTCTTCGTTGCATTCACTCCGATGACTTTTAAACAAAGCCATTGTTTAGTGATAAAAAAACAATCTTCTCCTGTTAAATGGTCATGAAAAGATGTCGGCAGAATCACCCGACATTGCTGAATGGAATAGAAATTTGAGAGCAATAAACTGCAACCATTGGTGACAATTTGTGCACACCGTTTTTTATACTGACCGCGAATGTGTACCGCAATGACCCAGAGGTACCATATGCAAAAAGGCGGGAGTCAACGGGAAAGCGTTTGGTGCAACGATGGAGTCGTGGATTTGACCCGAACTGCAGCCCACGTCCGCACTGATTCCTACTCGGACATGTCTATAGGCAACGATTGAGTTAGACAGCCGATCTGGTTTGCTGCGAGTGCACCCCTAAAAACCTCAAACGCATGAGATTAATGCAGTGCACAACTAATACCCACCAACTCCAAAATCTCCACGGACGTGTCTACACGTTATTCACTTCCAAAATGTACCCTCAACAAATGCCTGCTAAATCCGCAACGTCAAATTCACGACGCATCGGTCGTAATGGTGCACAGGCAACAAGAGGCAACTCTCTAAAACAGCAGCAAATAAAGCCTCCTGACTTATAGCTGGTAATTGCGGCAGTACATAAAGTCACGACGACGTCCAGATAAGTCGGCTTTGTGAAGGCACAACAATTAGAGCGAACACTGGCAATAGGAATTCCATAAAAATTACTTGTGCTAATGGCCTGTGCTGCACTCAGGCTATGAATGGCCCATCGCCAAATGCGAAGTTTGCGTTAGGGTGCTGCGAAGGAAGAAACTAATGACGCCTAATGAAATTTAATTTGGGTTGATTGCAAACGAAGTTCCTTAAATAAAGAACCATGTCGCCGAAACTAGTTAACTGGGATAACAACGCCTGGATTATTGTCACAATAAAACGCGGCAGAACTTGGTGTTAATATCGGTCGTTGCATTGGTTTTGCATTTTAAATAAAGGATGGAACAAGATGGGTTTTTCAGTCGTAGGTCGTAAATAGTTAGCTCGAATTGAATTTAAGAATCCAAGATCACACAGAAGCATTAAAAGCAGATACATTAAATCATGCATTTACAGAGCTACCTAGTGGGAGTCAGAGGTTTATGATGCTAACTCACAACCACGACTCGAAGCTTAAAAGGCTATTTCTCCTCAAAGATTTACGCCAGAACATTAGCCAAGCATCGCTAGACTACGTGGGCGAATTGCACAGGGTAGCTCATCTTTGGCGAACGTAAGTAAAAGTCACTAAAAGCGATTTTGTGGCTACTTTTGAGGAGTGGGTGATTGAAGGAAAAGTACCACCGCCTAACGATAGTGAAACGATGATGGTCCAACAGATGTCAGGCAAACATGGCAACATCCTACATAGATAAATACTATTCAAATATCAAAAATCCCACTAGAATTACCAGCAGACAAAGATGTGAGCAAGGAAACGTTGGTAGATATAAAAATGCAACGCGGAATGTCCAGTGCCCCACTGAATACAAAAGCTCTGGCAACAAATACAGGGGACGAAATAGACACGTTTTTTATATACAGAGACGGGATAATCCAATCAAATCACAAAGCAGACGCACTACTTGGAATTGGGTGGCCCTGCAGTGGAATGCGTTAAAATGTCACATGCGAAAATCGGCCGTGTAGTAATGGAATTCGGTGAACATAAACGGAAGTTGAGGAAATGCCGTGGAGCAAAAGGCTAGGCGGTTGGTCCTTAAAATTCAATAATTGGCCGATGTGAGGCTGTACTTTAGGTCGAGAAAGGGGTGGACGAAAGAAAAGTCAAAAGACTTTGGGACAACTGAAGGTGAATGCAATTGGAATGACACGATATGTGGGTTTTTCTAGGGTGATTCGTATACAGCGAGAGTGGTAACAAAAGAAATAAAGTAGTATAGGTAATTAAGGTTAGAAAATGATTGACAAAAGAATCATTAGCATCATTAAAAGTGACCGGTTACAATGCACCACAGCAAAAAAAAACACCCAAATACCCATTGCTGAGCTTTTATTTACAGCAACACAAACACCAGAAAGTAGCGACATTTCGCCAAACATGTTATGAACGAACTGCAAACATTTCATGAAAATCAGGCCGACTAACATTCCGTAGGTAAATTCGCTGACATAATTAACAGGCTGCCTTGGGTTCGGCATTTTTAACTTAACTCAAGAGTGCCCACAGCCCATCCAGTTTGGGATAATTGTAGCATAACTGCAGAGTTGAGCAGTTTCCAAAACGGCTCTCCTAATCAACAGATAGATGTTTACTGGTCTTTAAAGCTTGTGTGTTTGAATTGGCACTAGGAACATACCCACTTTTCAGCGAAATCTTTACAACTAGTCAACCTGCATAATTATTCAAACGTTGTTTCGGCAACTTGGTCGAGTATAACCGAAGCGACGAATAACCAGCAAGTTATGATGCAAGCAAACACCCCTCCACCAATTGTCACTTTTTGTCCTCAATAACCAGACACACCGTGCAAGCGTAATCTGGGTCTCTCACAACCCTAGAAGACAGTCAGATTGGTCTGTTGGTCTCTTGTCATGCGGATAGATTTTGTTGGATGCGCTTACAAAAGATGGGAGCGACGTTCACAGACGGTGGTGTCAAGTACATGTCCGCGGTCCAGACTCAAGGTAGTGAAAATGGTGGGATCGCTTGGACGTGCAGCAATGTTGCATGGCTACTGTTGCCAATCGCATACGTTAAGCAGACACAAAACATTCCGAAAAACGCCGTGACAATGCCGCGTTGCACACGAAAAGAATTACCTCAAAACCAACTTGGAGCTTAGCTGGTCCGTTCACGCCACATGACGTATTACCGGCCTAGTAACGATTCACTACCTTTCCCGTTTACTGTCGAATGACACGAATGAACAGTGATTGCGACATTACGATTACGATTGAGTTCATGAATGTATCCAAGATCCTCTTCACCCATTGGGACATTGTTTGGCGCATTACCGTGGGGGGGGGAGGAGGGGAGGGGGGAGAAATCCGTGGTGCTATAACCCTAAACCATGTAACGTGTGTGTGTGTGTGATTTTGCTAGCTTTTAAGGCGGGAATAACTACACGTCAATCCTACCAACCAGTGTACGTTACTAACAGACACAACTAAGGTGGCGGTGGCAGTTCGCAACAGTCGGATCTTTGACAATGATCGAGGCCCTTGAGAGGATATACAAGTAGCTTTTTTCAACAAAAAAACTAGTTAAACAGGTGACAGATTGGTGATGTATTTAGCAAACGTCATAAAACCCGCAAAACGGAGGACCCTGTGACCAATG